ATCACCTGAAGGAATAAGGGGATATTGAACCTGGAGAAGTAAAGACTCTGGAGTTGGAGTCACATGTTAAACACTTTAAACCTTGAAGAGCTGTATAAATATTAGGAGCTATTGTTGTTTTGGAAGTTCTGTAGTATAGGGACCTAGTAAATTACTTTAAAAGGTTCACTATTGAATTTCGGGTGATGCTTTTCTAAAATATTCTGCTGGTCATCCATCAGCTGTTCTTCATGAGCAAGAGGGATAACATCTTTTATACTGGTTGAGTTGGAGTACCCGAAACATGTGGTACAACTTCCCTATTACTATTATGGGTGGGTGCCACTATCCTCCCAGTCACTCAGGCTTGCAACCCCTGTGTTATCTGTGACTCATTCTCACTCACTCCACATATCTAGCCTTTTGGCAAGTTTTGTCATTTCTGCCTTTATGATATCTCGCATATATCCCCTTCTATTCCCTCATGCAGCTGCAACTCTGGTGTTGGCCTTCATCACCTCATTCCTTGACCATTGCAATAGCCTTCTAGTTGAAGTCCCTGCCTCAAGTTTCTTCTCACTGTAGTCCATCCTCCACTCAGTGGTCTTTGTTAAATGAAGGTCTAACAACGCTGCCCTCTCTATTCATAATGTCCAGGTTCTCTGTCTTATAAAGGCCTTTGTCATTTAAAGTTGTTGTTTTTTTTTAACAAACTCACTTCCTGCTTGTGTTAGAATCCTTCCCACCTGTGTTAACTGTTATATCTTTGGTTTTAATTTCTCTGGGCCTCTCATTGCTAATCTGCAAAATTAGGGTGCTGGACTAGATGATCATTAAAGGTTTTTTCCAGTGCTAAATCCTATAATTTCAACCAAAAAATTACAGTCCATAATTCTATAGAGAGAGCGCTGCAATTTTAACAGACTACCCCAAAGTAGCAGATATGATTCTTTTGCCTTTATATTCCGCTTCCTTCCTAGTTTCTTTAAGCTATTCTACCTTTTCATAGTTTATTCTTTTTTCCCATTTTTGAACCCAAAAGGATGTACCAGATTTTTTCAGAATGACTTCTTTAATCTGGCACTCATAGCAATGGAACTTGGTGCATAAAGTACCAACAGAGAAGTATAAGCAGGCGAGAGGTAATGAGGACCTACTTTAGGTTCTATTTCTTGCTTGATCAATGTAGTGTTATTAGGTTTCCCGTGCATAGTTTAACCATTTTCCAAATGTGAGCTGCTATATTGTCAGATGATTCCACCAACCAGTGCATGAGAATGATCACTTAAAAGTACTAAATTTTGGAAACATTTGACCTGTTTGCTCCTCACTGGATGATATTGAACTTGATTTTTGGTAGGCTCTCAAATCCTCTTTGAGCTTAACGTGAACGTGAAGTGGAGTGGTTTTTGAGCCCCTGTTGCAGTAGAACCCCAAAAAAAGCATTGTATACTGAGATGGTCATTGGCTTTTCCTCTTGTCAAAGGGCACTGCTTAGTAAAATCTTGTGTAATCTGGTATATGGGGTAGAATACAAAGTACTTTGCATTAAGATACATGGATACGTATTTAGGGTCCTTGTGAGCAGTTTATTTTTATGATTATTTTAGTTTATTTCTAGATTA